GGTTAGAAACTAAATCCTTGATCTAAACACATGTAGGTCTTTGTAGTGCTCTTCAAGTAACACATTGCTCCTAGCTCTAGGCATGGGTTTTACCAATCCTTAAAAACACACACACACACACACACACACACACACACACACACACACAAAGTAAGTGTCCTAGGTACCTGGTTTATGCATGTATGTGCATGCATATAAACATGTATTTTGCACCTATACACATTTGTATATCCTGAAAGTGAGTTAAAATGTATTGTTATATTATTTGAGAAAAGACAAACATTACGTAGGGCAAAGAACAGTTGGTCATAATAGTACTCCAAATTACATGACATGATTGTATGGCAGAAAAAGGTATCCAGGGAGTTGGAAATCTGGAGGCTTTTAAAAATAGGATAGGTTGTCATCTGTCTGGGGTTGATGTCATTGGAATGGGTTAAATGGACTATAAGGCCTCTTGCAATTCTAAATTTTTATGAATTTTGCTTTTCCTAAGGTTCTTATCACTTTGCTTCTTAAGTTTCCAGTCATGCTGTTTGCATGTGATACTTATCCATTCATTTGCTGGTCATGTATTCCACTCCCTGTGCAGACATACTGATGGTGTATGGAGGAGAAAGCAAATGTAAATGCGTCACTTGATTTGCTCATTAATATAAACATCTCCTGAAAAATCCCATTTGATTTAGAGGAATTTCAGAGAATGCGTTGTTGATTGGGCTAGATTGGTTATTAGAGAATGAGCATAATAAATAGTGCCATAGTTCTAATGTTCCAAACATTTTTTCCCAAAAGAATATGATGAATTACTCTTTATTTTTTTAAATATTAAAAAAACGGGTTGGGGGGGACCAGATACACTGAAGAGCTGATCTTTTAAAATTAAGATTTTGGGGTTGGGGGTTGTAGCTCAATGATAAGGCATTTGTCTGGTATGCTCAAGGCCCTCAGTTTAATACCCAACACTGGAAAAAAAAATGCACATTTTCAGAACCTAAAAAGAATAATGATGACATTGTGATTTGGGGTATGGGGAGAAGTTTGTGTTATCCAAATTTGTGAAGCCAAACTTTTGAATTTTATAGTTGGATAACTGTAAGGTAACAAGCTTTATTGAAGATAAATATTTATTGTAAATAATGCTTTGATTTAATAGATGTATGAAATGGATTGTTGTAGGCACAATCTTCAGATTATCATGATGTTGAAAACAAAATATTGGCTAATCTAAAACAGAATTTGTGTGTGTGTGTGTGTGTGTATGAGATGTGATATGATATGCAGATATTATGTTGTTTTATTTTAGAGACTTGAGAATGGTGGACTTTGGTGTCTGTTAGGAGAGAGGAATTCCTGAACCAATCCTCTGAGCACACCAAGGGAGAACTATTTATTTCTACATATTAAAGTTCATGAGTTCATGTTTGATATCTTCCAGCCTATTGTAACATCCCAAAGGTAGTTCTAAACATCCTCTTTTTTTTTTTTTTTTGTAAATTCTTTCTTTGACTGAAACCTACCTTTAAGACTCCAGAGTAGCTGGGTCTACAGATACACACCAAAATGCTAAAACTCACCTTTCTGAAGTGTACAATTCAGTGTTTTTTTAGCATATTCACAAAGTTGTGCAACTTTCACTACTATCTAATTCCATAACATTTCATCATCCCCAAAAGAAACTCTCTGAATATTAGTAATCACTTCCCATGTCCCCAATCTAATCTACTTTCTGTCTGTGTGGATTTGCCTGCTTTGGGTGTTTTGTGTAAATAGAATCATATAATAGGTGGCCTTTTGTGCCTGGTTTCTTTTGTGTATCAGTACTTCAATGTGGGTGTTTTGTTTTTTTTTATGTTGGGGATTGAACCCAGGGACATGGTACAATACTGAGCTACATCCCATCCCTTTTATTTATTTTTTTTATCTTGAGACAGGGTATCAGTAAGTTTCTAAGGCTGGCCTTGAACTTGAGATCCTCCTGAGTCGCTGTGATTGCCACCATGCCTGGCAAGATGTATTTTTTTCATACTCTTCATTCTCTTTTATACCTGTTACCACTCTACTATTTAGATGTATTTTATTCATCTGTTCTCTGTACAGGTATTTAGGTTGATTCCTGTATTTTGTAATTATGAACAATGTTGCTCTAAATGACTTCATGTATATGAATTTTTGTCCTGATGGAGGTATATTTTCCAAGTAGATTCCAAATAAGTAGGATTGATGGGTCAGAAGTTAAGTATACATGTAGTTTGGCTAAGTATTCCCAAATTTTCTCCACATGTTTTGTACCAATTTGCATTCCTACCAGTAGTGTATAAAAGCATCATTTCCCCCCACCCCCCACAGTCTCACCAACAGAGCTGCATGTGATCATCCTTTTAAATTTCTTTTATTTTTTCCTTGCCATAAATAAGTGATTTTTAAGAGGTACTCTGTAGTCATTTCAGTGGCTTCTTGTGGAAGAGCACTTAATACTGTGGGTGGTAGATTCTTATAGTTTGAAAATTTGAAAATAAAATGCATTATCCACTAATAGTGCACTGGTACATGTGGTTTTTTATTTTTTTATTTTATTTTGGTACTGGGGATTGAATCCGGGGACACTTAACCATTGAACCACATCCCCAGCCCTTTTTTATTTTGCAGCAGGGGCTTGGTAATACACTTAGGACCTTGCTAATTTGCTGAGGCTAGTCTTGAATTTGTAGTCCTTTTGCCTTAACCTCTGAGTTACTGGGATTACAGGCATGTGTCACCATGCCTAGCACATGTAGATTATTATATGCAGGTAAAATAGATTGGAATGCAATTTCTGACCTAGGCAGAATTAATTATTTGAAACTTTTTGCTTTTACTTTAAGTTACTTTTTATTGGTGGGGTTTAACAGAGATTGAACTCAAGGACACTCAACCACTGAGCCACATCCCCAGCCCTATTTTGTGTTTTATTTAGAGACAGGGTCTCATTGAGTTGCTTAGTGCCTCACTATTGCTGAGGTTGTCTTTGAACTCAAGATCCTCCTGCCCCAGCCTCCCAAGTAACTGGGATTACAGGCGCCTG